TTTGCTTATTAGTGTTTTGGTGGGTTAATGGGTGTGTTAGTGGGGTTTCTTAATGTGTGTTAGTGGGGGTTTAGTATGTGCGTGTGTTAATGAGGGGGTTTAATGATAATAATGTGTGTATTAGTAGGTTTTTTAATATGTGTGAGTGGATTTTTTTGGGGGGTGTACGTATGTTCGTGGGGGGTTAACATGTGTACGTGCTGGTGTTTTTTAAAGGTGTGTACATGATTTTTTAATGCGTGTGTACATGTGTTAGTGGGGGGTTAGTATGTGTGTGTTAGTGAGTGGGTTTAACATATGTGTGTTAGTGGGCGGTTTTAATGTGTGTGTGAAAATGGGTTTAGTGTGGGAGACTGGGTTTTTTAATGTGTGTCTCTTAGTGGGAGCTTTTAATATCTGGGTGTGTTAGTGCTGGAGTTGAATATATATGTGTGTGTTAGAGCATGTTTTTAATGTGCGTGTGAGAGTAGGTTTAGTGTGTGAGTGGGTTTTTAAATGTGTGTGTGAGTGGGTTTTTCAGGTGTGTGGGGGGGTTAGTGCGTGCGTGCGTGTGTGAGCGCGCCTTCACGATCCTTCCGAAGTGACCCGCTTTCTGCCTACTTGCCCGTGTCCTCGCGTTACTGCTGTTTCAGCTGCAGAGGCCCGGTGCTCAGTACGTCTCAAAAGCTGAAGACCTGAGCAAAGGCACTAAATCGGGATTGGCTTCTCCCAAAATAATTGCAGGCGCTGAGTCACCCGCTGGATTTACACTGCCGGGCTGAGCCCCCCTCGTGCTGTTTATTCCAAACGCAGGGAGAGCCTGCGGAGGGGAGGAAATGCTTCTTCTCGCCCCACAACACAAAGTAAGCGACAGAAATCCAGCAGAAGAGCCTCTCGTGCAGACAAAACAGAGTCGCCCAAAGCAGGAGCACGCTAGAAAGAAAGCAAGCCTCAACCCAAACAGCAGAAATAATTCCCCGCTCCTCCTGTGCGCCACTAACTCCTGGTTCAAATCTCTTCCTCCCGCCACCTTTCTCCTTTTTATTTCAATAAACTCCCCCCCCCATTATCTTCTACCTCAGCAGGAAATCGTTAAAAAATATTTTGGAAACGAAATAACCTGTCACTCCTTTACAAAGAGCTCGACAGCAGCCCATAACTTAGGGAAATCATATCCCCCCATCCCCTTTGGGTCGTTCTTCTGTAATAAAACCGAAGCCCCTTCCCTCTCTTGCGAACAGGACCAATGCACATCAGAAGCAGAAATGGCTTCCTTAAGGGTTTTATTCGCTTTCCTCCCTCCTTCCCCCACCCCTCCACACAATCGAAATGATAAAGTTTATTGTTTTAAATCGATTCCTGGTTTAAAAGCATTTCTCTATGAATAAAGGCTATGATGGATTTTTCTGCTAAGAACCAAGACACAGAAGGAAAGGTTCCTGGGTTATTTTTCCAGAGAGAGAGAGAGAAAAAAAAGGGGGGGGGTGGAGAAAAAGTTCCACTTAACAGAAGGACATCTTACTTATAAATAAGTAAATACGTGGACTCAGATACCTCCCCCTGCCATAGCTCCCTAAACCCCAAAGTAGATTTTACCGTGAATGAGGACTGTTTTGCATAAAAAGCTCAAAGCAATTAATACTGTTCATGGGCGTGACTGGGACTAAAATGAACAAATCTGGCAATGCACTCTGGAAATTCAAGGCATTTATTGTTATTGTTTTGCAGATCCTGGGTGTTTTTGGTTTTGTTTTTTTTAACTATTATGAAATGTGCTTAAATAAAGCCAGGTCCCCTCGGGATGGCAAACAGCTTCCCAGAGTGGGAGGGCGAAAGGGGAAACACTCCGGGCTTGCTTCCTGCTGTACAGAAGCAGAGGTTGGCTATGCGAGATGTACAGTCCTTGCGCGTGTCTGAAAATCGCCAGACATCATAATAAATAACCTCGGGTCAACTCAACTTGTGAACTCCAAACTTACAGTGGATCCCCTTCTCCCACTTCCACCCCTTCCTAGAAAGTGATGGGTTCACACACAGCAGCTGCCTGCCGGAGTGCCAGGACCAGCTCCTGCTTCCCTTCGGGTGACTTCCCCACCGTGGGGTGTGCCTGTCCTCCCAGCACCCAGGGAGCCCACCCAGGGACTGGGGAGGGGCGCGGGGGGATGAAAGGAAGAGTTACAGGGGAAACAAAATAAATTACATTAATAAACCTCCACATTTCACAGGGAAAGGAGGAGGGAGGGAAGAGAGACGGCAAGGGGGTGTGGGGGAGGGGATGACACAACAACGACGTAGCAGCCTTCTAACATCCAGCTCGCCTGCACTAAGACTCGCCACAGTTTTTGTAACTGTTTCCATCGCAAGTCAGTCGGTCTCTTCCAATAAATAAACAAACACCACTCCCATCTCAGGAGTATTTCATGCCAGTACTGGCATTAGTGGGTGCAGAAAGTCGGTGTTTGAGGCTCCCCCCCGCGCAAAATAGCGGGTTAAAGTTTGTAGGAAGCTTTGCAGAGAAATGCATCGAGTCCCCCCGCCTCCCTGTTGTGCATCGTACATGTTACACCCATTATGGAAGCATACACACCATAGAGATTGCATAGCGATAAGAGACCCAAAGAGTTAATACACTTCCAGTTTTGTTTTCATGCCTGGTAGTGTGCTTTATTAGGGGACGTCCTCACCGATTCTAGGAAGGGCAAGTTTGGGGTTATTTACTTATATGCTGGGGCTGACCTGTTTTCTTCTGCAAGCCCCTGAAAGGGCTCTTCTCCCCTCCACTGCACCAACCACACAGCCTGCTCCAGGGCTTCCAGAGTTTCAACTTCCCCCCATGGCTTGGTAAACCTCTGACCTTTTAAAGCCCTACTTTTATCTTAAGGAACGATAACATCTAGGAGGGAGCCAATAAAAATAAATAGGTTTATAAAGTCTCTGGGAGAAAGGTACGTTTTGTCCTCGCAGCCCTCGCTTTATTGTGAGCTGATCAAGACGCTGAACGTACAGTACCATCGAGCACACAATTTACTGCGTATTATGTTAAGCAAAATGTCACCGCCTGAGTCCCAGCGTGACCCTCTTTCAGTGTAAAAATAGCCAACAATTTAGGGATCGTACTTCACAGGCGAGACTAACAATAGTAATAAACTCCCTGAAAGGGTAGGCAGGCTCGTGCGGCGTTTAACAGCTTCAGGACGCATCTGGAAGGCTCTGCTTTCCTGATGTTAGGTTTGGCAGCTGGGGGAGGAGGGGGAGAGGAGGATGGAGTGGTGCCGACACGGTGAAGGGTGACGGGGAAGGAGGGTGGCGGTGACACTCAGATCCCTTTGCCTTCCTGTTGATTCACGCTTTACTAAGGGTTAGTGACGTGGAGGACCACACCAAAAAAAAAAAAAAAAAAAAAAAAAAAAA